TAAGACCCATTTCGAGTTCATCTCGATAATTTAAGCTATTCAATGTATAAACTTGTCGAGTATTTCATCTTACAAAAAATCACATTAATTAGATATCAATAGCCAATATTTCAATAACATACTAGATTGTCTCCAATTGGGCCCAATTCGACCGTCTAGTCTGACTAATTTATGACCCATTTCGGGTCCGTCTCGATAATTCAAACTGTTCAATGTATAGAACTTGTCAGGTATTTCATCCTTGCAAATAACCACATTGACCAGTTATCGATAGCCACTTAATCAATTCACATTTCTGTCAACAATTGTTTTTTAAATGATGTTTATTGTTGACAAAAATGTCAATTGATCAAGTGGCTATCGATATCCGATCAATGTAATTTTTTTAAAGGATGAAATACTCGACGAGTTCTACATATTAAATGGTTCGTATCATCGATTTGGGCTCTTTGTGGGCCCACGGAGGTCAAATATATGGTCTAGTCCGATTATTAAGACTGGAGACAAGTCTAGGCCTTCAATAATGTCGAAGTCACATTATTGGACTAGTTATATATATATATATATATATATAATTATAGATTATTTTTATAAAATAATATGTCTTAATTATACTATAGAAATAAAAAAAAAAAAAACTATAAATAATTTATGTAAAAAAATATTATGATTAAGTCAAAATTTCCTTTTAAAATGTAAACCCATAAAAATGACTCATATTTACAAATGTGCTACATTTTAGGTTTTTTCTTTTTTGATATCTTATAATAGATTTGTTAACGTGCTCCTTAGACATTAAGAAGATTATACATTTTACAAAAAAAATATGTGTAATAAAAAATATATATAATTTTATAATTTATTTTAAAATATATTCTAAGAACACACATTAATAAGATTCTTTAAACAAAAGGGAAGAGTAAATAAAAAAAAATAAAAAATAAAAATGCTACACTCACGAATGGCTATGGGCCCGATGACCTGTCCAACATGTCTAGTCGAGCCCAATATTTTTAAGGTTTAAAAAAATCTTTACCCATAGAGTTAGATTGTGCTGAAGTTTTTACTCCTTTAATATTCAGTCTAACACTTATAAATAAGAAGTTTTAACCCAACCCAATCTAACTCGACCCACTCATTTATATTAATTATTATGTTATATTATTTCAGTTATAAACCAGTAGCTAATCCGTGTGATGCGCAAGGATTTATTTTTAAAATAAAAAATTAAGTTTAAATCTTAATACTTTATGTGTTGAAAATTTTAATAATGAAGGTCAAATACAAATAGATTTGATAATGGCTGATGAAAATTATTGTCACTGTGTGATCCTATATAAAATGGCTCATAAAATTATTTTCAAAGTTTTATTATAATAATATAATAAAAAAAAGTGTATTCTCAACTGGAAATCAAATCATTATCTGTGTTAATCAAATTTACAAAAAATCATCGAAATTCGCCCAAAAATTATTAGTTTTACTTGTATCAAAATATTTTTTTCCTAAAAAACAATGAAAAATTCTATAATATATAAATTATGGCTTGGTTATAACTCATGGTGTATTATTTTAGTTATTAATTGAAAATGTCTTTAATAATTTCTTATGTTTTTTGTTATATCTAAAGTGGTGCATTGGATTTTTAATTATGTTTTAAGTGGTGTTTGATTATAATCTATTATAGTATTTTTACATGACAAAGGAAATCAAGTATAAAATCTCTATAACTTTAATAGTTTTAGTTTTCAAGAAACATCAATAGTTGCCTTAAATATATACAATTATTTTCGATGAACCATTATCTTTAATAATACTCCATACTATTTATCATTTGACATTTGTCAATTTATCTTCTATAAACTTAACAAAAAAAAGTATTAAGTTCCGTTATTTTATTCAATCAATATCAAATTGGACGTTACATGTGTATGTAAATCACTATTAGAAAAATGATATCTGACATAAAATCACAATTGAGTTTATTTTAATTAATGTAATGATATTTATACTATGATATGAGTTACATACGAATATTATTTATTTTAATAATCTTAACCCTATTGTAGACACCCCATTTTTGACCGACCTTAAGACTCAGACGTCACCGATTAAGCGCTTGGTGATGTTGCATAATGTGCTTGTTCAGAAGTTTGGGAGTTGCGGCCGTGAGCCCTACCTCCGGACTTCCGAAGTCGAGTCCGAGCTGTAGCGAGGTCCCCCGCGGGCTTGTTACACCTATCGTTCTATAAAAGTATTATTTGAATACTTGAATATAATAAATTTAATTAAATTACTTGTTTATTTTGATTATTTTAGTTCTATTGTGCTATAAAAGTATAATTATCATATAATGATTTTATATGATATATACTAAATTATAAGATATTAAAATAAACATTCATCTTGTTATTAAAAACAATAGTTAAAATAGAAAGAGAATTAGTAATATAAAACTAAAAATGATTCTAATTATTTTATTTTTATATTTATTTGAAAAATAAAAATATGTAGAAATACAACTACACAAAATTTATTTAAAAAATTAAATATAAATATATTCTGATTGGATTAAGAAGAAAATACAAATTAAATACGTAGAGTATTGATTTTTTTTTCTTTAATATTCTTTTTGATTTATTCATACATATTATATATAGGTATTGATAGGGAGATTTGTGCCGAACAGTGGGCCGAGCTACACCAACACGGAATATGGTGTTGGGCCTTGTCAGGAGAGCTTGGGACGCCGCGTTTGGCAAACTGTACCAGCGCGGAGCTTTGGGTCATGACAGTGGGCCGCGTGGACATAGCAAGGATCTGTAACTCAACTCGGGCCATATTTGGGTACCGCAGTTGGGGAGGTCGAGGCAGCATCACAAGGTCAGCTGAGTGAGGCACAACGTTGTGTGCCATGGCCGCGCTATTTGGCCGCGATGACTTACTGCGCGCCCATGATCGATCGGTCTAAGGGTAGTGCTCATATCTACTGACCCAGCACAATGCCAACTCATTGGCCGACTTATCTTAGATCGGCGTTGGACTGACAAAAGGGAGTACCCCTGGTGTAGCACAAGTGATAGCGCGGTCCAGTATTCCATGTGGACCAATAAAGAGAAGAGAGAAATCCACTCCTGGTATGCGCCAATACTGTTTGACAGTGCGACAAACACTATTTGGAGGTTTTGGTCTCTACATATGTAAGAAATGTAGAGGGGAGCACAGTCACCTGTCCAGAGAAGGACAGCAGAGGTAGTGCACCCACAATCTCTGAGGCTACATAGCCAGGCTTGAAAAGGAAAAGCATGTAGACGTTAGAGATAAGAAATTTCGAATTCTCTCTCTCTCTAGTGCTCTGCCTTCTCTCTTCTTCTAGAAAGCTAACTTGACCGTCAGAGGGGTTTTCTAGCAAACCCACCTACCGAGTAGCTCACCTCTATTTTGTTCACAGTATGACAGAGTTCTAACGAAGTGAGACGAGCTTGGTAGCAAGGAGGTACGGTGCGAGGCTAATATTTCACTTCCGTACAATTAGCATGGCCAGCCTTGAAAATGAGGAGCATGCAGACGTTAGAGGTAAGAAATTTCGAATTCTCTCTCTTTCTCTAGTACTCTTCCTTCTCTCTTCTCCCAAAAAACTAACTTAACCGTCGGAGGGGTTTTTCGGCAAACCCACCCACCGGGTAGCTCACCTTTGTTTTGTTCACAATACAACGAAGTTATAACGGAGTGAGACAAGCTTGGTAGCAAGGAGGCACGGAGCAAGGCTAATATTTCTCTCCCGTAGAATTGGTGTCGTGTGAGAATCTCTTTGACAAACAAACCTTGTTCTACAAGCTTTTTTGACTGTTTTTCATGGCGAACATCGTCGAAACACCGTTGTTCATCGTCGACAGAATCACTCCAGAGTCAGTTCGGAGAAAAGATAGCCCTCCTGCCATTCCGACAATGGTGGGCCTGGAGACATTCTCTAGAGGGCTACCTAGAGACGCGCGAGACAAACACGCGAGGAGCACTGATCATTCGCAGAGTCCTGAGGGGCGTCAGCGGCGAGGAGAATCGCATGCTCAGTGCCTAGAGCACAAACTCAGAGACCAAAACGCCCTCATACAAAAGATTGCGGCTGAGATGGAAACGTTGAAGTGACAAATCAAAAAGAAGGGTGTTGCTGGAATGGGAAACCACAGTGAGCGCAGCCAACCCCGTCGCTCAAGCAGCCAGCACCAACAGGAGACACCCTCCCTCTCCATCACCAAGAGCTACGACATTGGCGATTTCGACCCACCGATAGAGAGATCACGCACGCGCGATAGTAGCTACCGTCCCTCGTGTCCTACTTTGCCCGTTCGAAGGACCTGAGAGACGTCTTGGAGGAACATGCACACCATAGAGAGGCCCAAAGAGTGCCGGCGTTGCAAAGGCTGAGTCCCAAAATCTGTTACAGTGAGGAGGTGACCATGCTGCCACCTAGAATGGTGATTCTAGCACTGGAGGACAGAGACTAGGCAAGACTCACCGCCACCCCACTGTCTCCAGAGATTGAAAGCACACCCCTCTCCGCCGGATTCCATCAACTTAAGTTCACGTTGTACGACGGCAAGACGGATCCGTACATGCATATTAGTCATTATCAGCAAGTAATGGCTGGCCATCGGCGCAATAATGCCTTGATGTGTCTCATATTCCTAGCAAGTTTGAGAGAATTGGGCCTGAAATGGTTCGAAATGCTCCCGGAAGAGAGTATTGAGGGGTGGCAGCAGCTGGCGAAAGTTTTCATCACCAGATTCAAGACCAATACTCGAACACCGAAAGAGGTCGACCACCTCTTGTGTACCAAGATGGAGTCAGGAAATTCATTGAAAGCATACAATGCCAAGTAGTGGGAGACCTACAATAAGAACCTCGATCGCCCTACCAATTTGGCAACCGCCTAATACAAATGAGGTATACCAGTCGAACATAGACTGTGAGACTCACTCACGATGCACCAGCCCACAACCATGGAATCATTGATGCAGCGAATCAACGAGCACATCCGAGTAAAGGATGATGCCGCCACCACCACCGCAACCGAGAAGGCAAATCTGATTGCGGCGGAAAAACGTGTGCCTGGGAAGGTTCACTCGGTGGGACAGGAGGATAACCGTCCTAATAATCAAGCGAGAGAGCAACACCGTGGAACTGGCCGCAATGATAAAAACAAAGGCCATGGGAATGACCAAGCTAATGTTTCACGTAACGAGGAGGAAGATGCCAAGAGAAAGTTGAAGGCGTGGACTGGTATCACAACAGTCTTCAAAATCCCGATTTATCGCATCATCAGCGAGATTAGAGACGAGCCATATGTTCGATGGCCAGCGAAATTGGGGGATGCACAGAGGGGCTTCAACTCAAGATACCGCTGCACTTTTCCTAAAGAAATGGGTCACCGAACGGAGGATTGCGTGCCATTGAAACAACACTTGGAAGAGCTGGTCACAGCGGGATATTTAGACTATTATATTGGCGGCAGAATAAGGGCCGCCCCACAAGGACAAGCCGAGCCAAATGGGCTTGCCGTATTGGATGCCGCACCCCAAGGAGTCATCAATGTTATTCACGGTATCATCGAGCCAATACGAGTCTGTGAGCTTAGGGAGATGATTAAGAAAGTCGAGCACGTGAGGGAAGTGCTCTCCGTTCAGCCCGCCGTGAAAAATGGGAAGACCGAGATCAAAGACATCCTGACTTTTTCAAGCAAGGACTTAGACAGAATTCAAACCCCTTATAACGACGCCTTGGTTATGACACTTCGCATCAAAGACTTCGACATCAAGAGAATACTGATCGACCAAGGGAGTTCGGTCGAGATCATATACTATGATGCATTCAAGTAGATGAAGTTGGAGGACAAGGAATTGGCCCTAGCCGCATCTTCTTTGGTCGACTTTAACTCTCAGCCAAAATGGTTGATCGAGAAGATCATTTTGCCGGTCAAGGCTGGGTCGGTCATGAAGCAAGTGGAGTTTTAGGTATTGAAGGTCACGTCGACCTATAATCTGATCTTGGGGAGGAGTTGCTTACATGCTATACAAGCAGTGGCGTCAACCTATCACCAGGTCATGCGCTTCTCTGGCCCAATTGGGCAAATAGAAGAAGTCTGGGAAGACCAAGTCATGTTGAAACAATATTTTGTCGCGGTCAATGGCACCAGGGCAATAAAGGGCTTCGTCCAGATGATAGAAGGACTGGAAGACAAGGAGGTCCTAGAAGATGTGGGAAGAAAAGCCGAGGAGAAATCAGTAGAGGATTTGGTGGAAGTTCGCATTGACGAGAATGATCCAAACAAGTTCTTTCTCCTGAGCTCATCTTTATCTAGCACCGAGCGCCTGGATTATGTAAATTTTTTGGTTTCCAACATTAATGTCTTTGCATAGACGCCTTACGATATGTCTGGCGTTGACCCTAGCTTCATTTGCCACTAGTTGAATGTCTTTCCCAACGCACGGCTGGTCATTCCGAGAACTAGGAACTCAGCTCTACACCATGCCGAAGTAGTAGCCGAAGAGGTCAAAAACTTGCTGGAAGTTAGGGCGATAGAAGAAATACACTACCCTAGATAGATCTTAAACACGGTTGTGGTGCTAAAGAAAAATGAAAAATGGGAAGTGTGCATCAACTACAAGACGGTCAACCGTGCTTGCCCTAAGAATAGCTTTCCACTCCCAAGGATTGACCAGCTGGTGGATCTTACCGCTAGTCACCAAATAGCCATGTATGAACTGGACAGAGAGATCACATCATTTACCATGCCAAGAGGTTTGTACAACTACAAGATTATGCCCTTTGGCCTGAAGAACGTTGGGGTAACCTTTCAAAGAATGGTGACAAAAATGTTTACTTCTTTGCTTGGCCGCACCATGGAGGCCTACATCGACGATATGGTGGTCAAAAATAAGGAAAAATCTCAGCACCTTGGCAACCTAGCTGATATGTTCGCCATCCTCAAGCTCCACAAGTTGCAATTGAATGCTTCTAAATGTGCTTTTGGAGTGGGAACTGGAAAATTTTTGGGTTTTTTGGTCACCAACTGAGAAATTGAAGTCAACCTTTCACAGATCAAGGCAATCTAAGAACTCGAATGACCAAATTCCACTAAGGACATGCGACATCTTGCTGGAATGGCAGCCGTGTTGAATAGATTTATCAACCGGTTATCAAATCGTTGCAGGCCCTTTTTCAAGACTTTGAAAGCCAAATTTTTCTAGAACGCAGAGTGCAACTGCACTTTGACAGACCTTAAGGCATATCTCTCTTCTGTCTCCAATCCTAGTCACTCTACAACAAGGTAAAGAGCTCTATCTACACTTGGCCGTTTCTTAACACGCGTGAGCGCAGTACTCGTCCGAGCTAAGGGGATTCAACACCTTTCTATTTTTTATGTCAGCAAGACATTGCTCCCAGCCGAATTGAGATATCTGTCGCTTCAAAAATTGGCACTGGCCCTCACGATGGCCTCTAAAAAGTTGGCGCACTATTTTCACGCCCACACAATAGTAGTGCTAACCAAATTTCCACTCAAGGTGCTCTTTGAGAAGGCAGAATTTTGAAGTGGGCAGTACAACATCAAGTTTCAGCAATGAACAGCCATCAAAGCGTAAGCCTTGGCTGATTTTGACACAGAATTTGCACCAAGCACCCACCCCGTCTGTCTAATAAACTTGGCGCACGACACCGAGCAAAAGGAAATGACTAGTACGGATTTTGCACGGCCCATGGTGTTAATGCTGCCGCAGAAAGATGGGATGAATATAATAGACGAGCAAGATAATCCTGAGCAAGCCGAGCAAGGGCCGGCCGACTTACCGAACGATGTGACGAATGCACATGCAAGAAAGCTGCGCACAGTGCCGACCAATGCCTTGGACTTGCAAAAATCTCAAAATCCCTCCGATTGCTAGAAGTTGTTCATCGAGGAAATGTGGAAACGCTTTGTTGATGGGGCCTCAAATAGTCACGATGCCTGGCTAGGAGTTGTGTTTACCTCGCCATACGAACTGACCATTGAACATGCCATCGCGTTGGGATTCCCAGCGTCCAACAATGAGGCAAAGTATGAAGCCCTCCTAGCCAACCTGAAAAGTGCTCTACAGATGGAAGCCACCAAGCTCATGGTGTTCAGTGACTCCAAATTCATCGTTAACCAAGTCTCTGGTGAGTATGAGGCTAAGGGTGAGAGGATGGCCATATATAGTCAAGCAGATGAACTAGCCGGCTTCGCATCCATGCAAAACACCTTCTCCAATCCTTTGATGATCGAGTTCTTGGCCCAACCTAGCATCGAGGAGCCAGAGACGCCCAAAGTACTCTGTACTGACTTGGGGTCATCCTAGATGGATCCAATCATCACCTTCCTCAAAGATCGAATCCTGCTCACTGATAAGAAGGAAGCCAACAAGATCAGGGCCAAGTCTAAACGGTTTTGGCTCTCTCCATCTAGTGCCTTGTACAAAAAGTCCTTTACAGGGCCGTATCTAAAATGCGTCCATCCTAGCAAGGTTGAAGCTTTCATCTTTAAGATTCATGAAGGTATGTGTGGTAGCCACATTGGGGGCAGATCCCTAGCATACTGAGCAATTTCTCAAGGCTACTGGTGGCCATGCATGCAAGCTGACACGTAGAAATATGTCCGCAAATGTGAGAAGTGCCAAAAATTTGCCCACCAAATCCACCAGTCGGCCAGAGAGTTGCTGCCCCTAACGAGTTGTTGGCCATTTGCACTTTGGAGGCTGGACATTGTGGGACCACTTCCAACTGCAAATTTTTCATTGCCGCTACTAACTACTTCACCAAATGGATTAAAGCCGAGTCGTTGGCTACTATCACAGAAAAATATGTAAAGAAGTCCGTCTGGCAGAATGTCATTACTCGGTTTGGTATCCCAAAGGCCCTCATCTCGGATAACGGCACGCAGTATGATGGGAAACTCTTCCGTAGATTTTGCGAAGAGTTGAAGATTGAGTTCTACGATTCTACACCGACCTATCCCAGTCAAATGGTCAAACTGAAGCTTCAAACAAAACCATCTTGGACGGGCTAAAGAAATGGCTGGAGAAAGCCAAAGGGAGATAGGCTGAGGAACTCCCAATGTGCTTTGGCTATACCGAGCTACCCCAAGACGTTCAACCAGGAAAACTCTATTTGCCCTAGCTTACGGCATGAAGGCTGTCATACCCTTGGAGATCGGTATACCAACCATCCGATCTGAAAATTTCGAGCCCAATTTGAACAGTGAAGCTATCGCCCTAGAGTTAGACCTAGCTGAAGAACGATGGGAAAGGGCACTAATTCACATTGCAGCCTATCAACAAGAGCTCTCCAGGAAATACAACAAGACCGTGCATCCACGTCTGTTCAAAATTGGGGACTGGGTCTTGAGAAAGGTGATGGGCAACGCACTAATCCCTAGAGATGGAAAATTGGGTGCAAATTTGGAAAGGCCGTACAAGATAATTGGCCTAACTGGCAAAGGGGTATGCCATTTAGAGGACTTGGACGACAAAGCTATCCCAAGACCATGGAATGCGGCCAACCTCAAGTTGTTTTACTTTTGAAGTGTAATCTTTCTTCCTTTTTATTCAAACTTGGCCTTTTGGCATTATCTGTAATATTTGAGAAGCAATGGAAAAATACCACTTATCTCTTTTGTATTATGTGTCTGTCCTTCCCTCTTTCTGTATTAAAATATCAAGTTACTGAGTACTAAGGGCAATTCAGCCTTAGTTGCAATAGTGCACCATGCAGAAAGTTATAACCAGCTTGGGGCACAAGACCGAGCTAACTTCGCTCAGCCTGGGCTGACTTTACCCATTGTGCTATCAATTGTTATCCCCAATTGTGGTCGTTTGTTTCGAGCTGATTTTGCTCACTTTTTGCTAAGATGATTTTGCTCGCTGGGGAGAAGCTGTTGTTCTACCTAACTTCTGATTTGAGGTCGAGCTGATTTTGCTCGTTATGTCGGAGGTGATGTTGCTCGTCTTCCCGAGCTGGGTTTGCTCGCCTGGAAGTAAGTTGGTGTTTTGTCTAACTTGTGATTTAAATCTGAGCTAACTTTGCTCATTTCTGAGCTGATTTTGCTCATGTGGCAATAGGTGTTATGTGTCACTTAATTTGTGTAACCAAGTTGATTTTGCAATCACACCGAGCTGAACTTTTTCACCGGGGAGACTGTTAACGTAATTCCCAACAAATCTTTTTTCGCCTCCAAAATCGAGCTGATTTTTGCTCAGGAGGATGCTATGCTTCCCTAATTTTGAAAAGGAATTTTACATTTATGCACATTCAAAAAAATATCCAGGCAGAAATAAGCTTAGCATAGTGAAGAGCATTACACATTGGCATACTACAAGCAAATTTCATCACAGCGATGTGCAAATTTAGCACCACATAGTTAGGTCGAGCAGTTTTCTCTTGGCAACAATAAAGGCTACAGTTACAATCATTTAGACAAAGGAGACAAATTGAAGACACATGCACACAACGAGCAAGAAGATTGTGATTTTCATTCATCCTTAAGTCTGGTTATAATAGTAGGGTTCATAGCCTGGTTACAACCAAAACAAAAAAAAACAAAAAAAGGAAAGGAGGCTAGCTATGCCCTAATCTAAGTCCACAGCGTCCTCCAAGTCAGCTAGGACCTCATCAATTGCGTTTGGCGCGATTTCTTCTCTTGCATCAAGGCCCAAACTAGCATCTTGCTCGGCCTCGCCGCTGCCCAGAGATGCTTCTTCCACAATGACTGGCAAAGTGGTCACTTTGGTCGGTGGAAAGGTTGTCACCTCGGTTGCCTTAATCATTTTCTGTTGAACGGCTGCAGTGTAGGCTTTCATGTGTAGTGGGATGAAGGCAAATGGGGGATTTTTAAAGAAATCAAAATCAGGCCCATGGCCAAGTTGCTCCACGGCAACTTTCCAGTTGCACTAAAAAAAGATATCCTCTGTTCCCTTCACTTGCCGTTCATAAACTTTCTCTCCTTCTGCATAGTCGTGGTCTTCCGCATCGTCGACTTGCTTCTTTAGCTCGGCCACATAAGCGGCGCGGAGTTTGCGTAGCTCTGCCAAGTATTTCTCTTTCTTAGCTTGGACGGCCTTATGTTTGTCCTCTTCGGCTCGAGCCAATTTCTCGGCCAACTAATCTTTCTTGGCAAGTGCTGCCTCATGAGCAGACTTTAATTTCCCCAACTCAACAGTCTTGGCCTTGTTGTCAGCAATGGCCTCCTGCAAACTTTGCCAGACAGAAACCATGCGCTCATGAGCCAAGTAATTTTTTTGTGCGGCCTGCAACAAAGACAAAGTCAATTTGTTGAAACCGAGCAATAAATTGTAACAAAATGATTTGTCTACTTACCAGCACAATGGATTTGGCAGCTGACCTAAGGACTTTCTGGTTGGAAAGCTCTTCATGTTTCTTCATATCTGCTGACAAAAGCAGACCCTTGGTCATGTTGAAACCAAGGGAGTAATCCTTGTCAGCATAGACTGAGTCAGTTATGGTCACTGGTTGGCCTTTGTACTTCAGCTTGAGTAACCAGACTGAAAGGCAGTAGAGCAACCGAGTTGCTCGGCCGAGGTTTGTTCAGTCTGCTCCCCCTAATCAGCGGAAGGAAGCTCGATGGAATCTTCATTGACTAATGTTTGCTCAGTCGGTGTCTGTCTCTGCCTCTTCTTTGGCCGACCAGTACCCTGCTACCTGGCAAGAACCAATACCGGGCCAGGATCTTGAATGGCTTACTGGGAAGACTACCCCCCATAGCGATCCCGGTTTTGACCCGACCTTTGTTACATTCCAGACTCGAGTTTTGTAGTTTAATATTGTATCCATGTCTTGTTTTTCTCCTTTAACTCTTTGAATTTGAGTCTTGGAACATGTTGGACGTGTTTGGAACAGGTTGGTTGTTAGTTGGTCAAGATTGTTGCTGCCCAGATTTTGGCTTCTTCGCTCGAGCGAGGCTTCTTGCGCTTGAGCGAGCCTTGTGAAATTTGCTTCTTCACTCGACCGAGGTTTTTTGCACTTGAGCGAGATTTGAGAGTTCTCAGGATTTTCTCCAGACACATAATTTCTGGGAAGGTAGAGTTCTTCGCTCAAGCGAGGCTTCTTGCGCTCAAGCGAGCGTGTGCATCTGTAAAACTTCTAAAGCTTTGCATTCTGTGCTCGAGCAACGCTTCTTGCACTCGAGCAAGGTCACTTGTTATGTCTGGTCGCTCGAGCGACAACTCCTTCGCTCAAGCGAAGATCGCATATATCAGTTCGCAGTAGAGTAATTTTACATCACTTTTTGATTACCTTTCTCCTAAAAACCTTAATTCAACACTCTCTCTTTCTACAAATATTCCAAGATCCAAGCATCTCTACCCTACTTCCTTTAAAAAAAAACGTGGAGCATCTTCTAGGCTTCCATTTCATTCGAACCAAACTTGGTTTTGTGCACTTTTGAGGTTCTTCTTCATCTCCTTTGAGCTTCTACACTTGAGGTAGGGATATTCTACACCTTAATATGGCTTTTAACCTAGATATGTGTTGTTGTGTATAGATGATGGGATTTGAGAGTGATTTTGAGTAAACTAGGGTTTGGGTTCAAAATTTAAAAGAGGGTTGTTCCATATTGATCTATAAAATGACTATGGGGCCTTGTGTATGGAGTTTCTCTAGTGCTAAAATGGTGGAACCTAGCCATTAGGTTGAATTTGAGGAAAAGTGAGAGATTTGCCCTAATTTGAGTTAAATAAATTATTTTGTATGAATAATGAAATTAATATGGAAAAATGTGAAATTGGGAGGATATATGAATGAATGGTGTAGTTGGGTTTGTTAGAACACTCACCTATGGAAATTTGATTAATTATCTGTTTGATAGATTTTCTATCTATCTAGAAATATCTATTTTGGGCTATCGGTGGAGGATAGCAATGATTGTTGTAGAAATTGTATGAGGATTAGGTGAATTGGAACCTGTCATTTAAATTATGTTATTGAGTATGACAGTATGATTGAAACATTGAATATGTGCTGTGGATAGTCACTGTATATAACGTTGTCTTAATACATTGTATATGTATAATTATTTGGGAGGAGAAATGGAATGTACTCCATTGTTTGGGAGGAGATAGGGGATGGACTCCATTTAAAACTAAGTTAGCCGGAGTGTCCAGGGTGAAAGTCCCGAAATCTTGTATATATATGGGTGCTGATTCCATCGGATGAGAATTTCGTAAAATGACAAAATAGAAGTGTTGGAGTGATGTATGTATTGAATTGAGAACCATTGAGTTGTAGTCTCATTTCGGTTGATTCGATAATAATGAATTTGGTTAATAGATTAACCTGAAACGAATGA